CAAAAAGACAGGCAGATGTCATGGTGGCATGGAGGTTAAGACAGGTGACTCCCATCCAAAAGGTTAAGTGATCAAAACCTGGTTGTGGCCTACTGCATTCTGGGATTCTCCTATTGGGTAGGATTTTGGTCTATCCTACTGTCCTGAAATAAAAAGGATAAAGCCCCTAAAAAAGCAGTCAAAGCCAGACTTCATGGTGGCGTAGTGGTTAAGAGAGGTGTTTCCCATCCAAGAGATTGAGTCATCAAATCCCAGTTGTCCCAATCCATACTTCATCTGGAAGTCTCCCATTGGACATGATTTTGATCTACCCTACTTTCCTGAAATAAAAAGGACAAAGCGCCTAAAAAAGCTACCAGAAACAGATGTCATGGTGGTGCAATGGTTAAGACAGGTTGCTCCCATCCAAGAGGGCAGGTGATCAAAACCTGGTTGCAGCCTACCTCATTCTTGGATTCTCCCATTGGAGATGATTTTGTTCTAGCCAAATGTATTGTAATGGAAAGGACAAACCCCCTAAAAAAGCAAAAAGACAAGCAGATGTGATGGTGGCGTGGAGGTTAAGACAGGTGACTCCCATCCAAGAGGTTAAGTGATCAAAACCTGGTTATGGCCTAATGCATTCTGGGATTCTCCCATTGGAGAGGATTTTGGTCTATCCTACTGTCCTGAAATAAAAAGGATAAAGCCCCCAAAAAAGCAAGAGAACACAGATGTCATGGTGGCGTAGTGGTTAAGACAGGTGACTCCCAATCAAGAGGGCAGGTGATCAAAACCTGGTTGCAGCCTACCGCATTCTTGGTTTCTCCAAAAGGAGATGATTTTGGTCTAGCCTACTGTCCTGAAATTAAAAGGACAAAGCCCCTAAAAACGACAGATAAGACAGATGTCATGGTGGCATAGTGGTTAAGAGCAGCAACTCACATCCAAGAGATTTACTAATTGAATCCCATTCCACCCATCTAGATTTGATCTGGATTTCTCCACTTGGAAAACATTTTAAACTATCCTCAAGTCCTGGAATGGAAAGGACAAACCCCCTATAAAAGCAAGCAGACCGTGAGGATCCTTTTTTTTTGTTAACTCTTTTGCACAAAACACCAAGTCAATTTCCAGTATGGGCAAATGTATTTGGCAATAAAAACCCCTAAATTGATATTTAGCATCAGTGGCGTAGTGGATAAGACCACGGTCTCACAGCCAGTAGGTTGATTGTTCAAATCTTCATGTCTCCTCTTTGAAATAATTTTAAACTGGTCAAATGTACTGTAATGGAAAGGACAAACCCCCTAAAAAAGCAAAAAGACAAGCAGATGTCATGGTGGCATGGAGGTTAAGACAGGTGACTCCCATCCAAAAGGTTAAGTGATCAAAACCTGGTTGTGGCCTACTGCATTCTGGGATTCTCCTATTGGGTAGGATTTTGGTCTATCCTACTGTCCTGAAATAAAAAGGATAAAGCCCCTAAAAAAGCAGTCAAAGCCAGACTTCATGGTGGCGTAGTGGTTAAGAGAGGTGTTTCCCATCCAAGAGATTGAGTCATCAAATCCCAGTTGTCCCAATCCATACTTGATCTGGAAGTCTCCCATTGGACATGATTTTGATCTACCCTACTTTCCTGAAATAAAAAGGACAAAGCGCCTAAAAAAGCTAGCCAGAAACAGATGTCATGGTGGTGCAATGGTTAAGACAGGTTGCTCCCATCCAAGAGGGCAGGTGATCAAAACCTGGTTGCAGCCTACCTCATTCTTGGATTCTCCCATTGGAGATGATTTTGTTCTAGCCAAATGTACTGTAATGGAAAGGACAAACCCCCTAAAAAAGCAAAAAGACAGGCAGATGTCATGGTGGCATGGAGGTTAAGACAGGTGACTCCCATCCAAAAGGTTAAGTGATCAAAACCTGGTTGTGGCCTACTGCATTCTGGGATTCTCCTATTGGGTAGGATTTCGGTCTATCCTACTGTCCTGAAATAAAAAGGATAAAGCCCCTAAAAAAGCAGTCAAAGCCAGACTTCATGGTGGCGTAGTGGTTAAGAGAGGTGTTTCCCATCCAAGAGATTGAGTCATCAAATCCCAGTTGTCCCAATCCATACTTGATCTGGAAGTCTCCCATTGGACATGATTTTGATCTACCCTACTTTCCTGAAATAAAAAGGACAAAGCGCCTAAAAACGCTACCAGAAACAGATGTCATGGTGGTGCAATGGTTAAGACAGGTTGCTCCCATCCAAGAGGGCAGGTGATCAAAACCTGGTTGCAGCCTACCTCATTCTTGGATTCTCCCATTGGAGATGATTTTGTTCTAGCCAAATGTACTGTAATGGAAAGGACAAACCCCCTAAAAAAGCAAAAAGACAGACAGATGTGATGGTGGCATGGAGGTTAAGACAGGTGACTCCCATCCAAAGGTTAAGTGATCAAAACCTGGTTGTGGCCTACTGCATTCTGGGATTCTCCTATTGGGTAGGATTTTGGTCTATCCTACTGTCCTGAAATAAAAAGGATAAAGCCCCTAAAAAAGCAGTCAAAGCCAGACTTCATGGTGGCGTAGTGGTTAAGAGAGGTGTTTCCCATCCAAGAGATTGAATCATCAAATCCCAGTTGTCCCAATCCATACTTGATCTGGAAGTCTCCCATTGGACATGATTTTGATCTACCCTACTTTCCTGAAATAAAAAGGACAAAGCGCCTAAAAAAGCTACCAGAAACAGATGTCATGGTGGTGCAATGGTCAAGACAGGTTGCTCCCATCCAAGAGGGCAGGTGATCAAAACCTGGTTGCAGCCTACCTCATTCTTGGATTCTCCCATTGGAGATGATTTTGTTCTAGCCAAATGTATTGTAATGGAAAGGACAAACCCCCTAAAAAAGCAAAAAGACAAGCAGATGTGATGGTGGCGTGGAGGTTAAGACAGGTGACTCCCATCCAAGAGGTTAAGTGATCAAAACCTGGTTATGGCCTAATGCATTCTGGGATTCTCCCATTGGAGAGGATTTTGGTCTATCCTACTGTCCTGAAATAAAAAGGATAAAGCCCCCAAAAAAGCAAGAGAACACAGATGTCATGGTGGCGTAGTGTTTAAGAGAGGTGACTCCCAATCAAGAGATTTAATGATCCAAACCTGTTTGTGACCTACTGCATTCTTGGTTTCTCCAAAAGGAGATGATTTTGGTCTAGCCTACTGTCCTGAAATTAAAAGGACAAAGCCCCTAAAAACGAAAGATAAGACAGATGTCATGGTGGCATAGTGGTTAAGAGCAGCAACTCACATCCAAGAAGTTTACTAATTGAATCCCATTCCACCCATCAAGATTTGATCTGGATTTCTCCACTTGGAAAGCATTTTAAACTATCCTCAAGTCCTGGAATGGAAAGGACAAACCCCCTATAAAAGCAAGCAGACCGTGAGGAATCTTTTTTTTTTGTTAACTCTTTTGCACAAAACACCAAGTCAATTTCCAGTATGGGCAAATGTATTTGGCAATAAAACCCCCTAAATTGATATTTAGCATCAGTGGCGTAGTGGATAAGACCACGGTCTCACAGCCAGTAGGTTGATTGTTCAAATCTTCATGTCTCCTCTTTGAAATAATTTTAAACTGGTCAAATGTACTGTAATGGAAAGGACAAACCCCCTAAAAAAGCAAAAAGACAGGCAGATGTCATGGTGGCATGGAGGTTAAGACAGGTGACTCCCATCCAAAAGGTTAAGTGATCAAAACCTGGTTGTGGCCTAATGCATTCTGGGATTCTCCTATTGGGTAGGATTTTGGTCTATCCTACTGTCCTGAAATAAAAAGGATAAAGCCCCTAAAAAAGCAGTCAAAGCCAGACTTCATGGTGGCGTAGTGGTTAAGAGAGGTGTTTCCCATCCAAGAGATTGAGTCATCAAATCCCAGTTGTCCCAATCCATACTTCATCTGGAAGTCTCCCATTGGACATGATTTTGATCTACCCTACTTTCCTGAAATAAAAAGGACAAAGCGCCTAAAAAAGCTACCAGAAACAGATGTCATGGTGGTGCAATGGTTAAGACAGGTTGCTCCCATCCAAGAGGGCAGGTGATCAAAACCTGGTTGCAGCCTACCTCATTCTTGGATTCTCCCATTGGAGATGATTTTGTTCTAGCCAAATGTACTGTAATGGAAAGGACAAACCCCCTAAAAAAGCAAAAAGACAGGCAGATGTCATGGTGGCATGGAGGTTAAGACAGGTGACTCCCATCCAAAAGGTTAAGTGATCAAAACCTGGTTGTGGCCTACTGCATTCTGGGATTCTCCTATTGGGTAGGATTTTGGTCTATCCTACTGTCCTGAAATAAAAAGGATAAAGCCCCTAAAAAAGCAGTCAAAGCCAGACTTCATGGTGGCGTAGTGGTTAAGAGAGGTGTTTCCCATCCAAGAGATTGAGTCATCAAATCCCAGTTGTCCCAATCCATACTTGATCCGGAAGTCTCCCATTGGACATGATTTTGATCTACCCTACTTTCCTGAAATAAAAAGGACAAAGCGCCTAAAAAAGCTACCAGAAACAGATGTCATGGTGGTGCAATGGTTAAGACAGGTTGCTCCCATCCAAGAGGGCAGGTGATCAAAACCTGGTTGCAGCCTACCTCATTCTTGGATTCTCCCATTGGAGATGATTTTGTTCTAGCCAAATGTACTGTAATGGAAAGGACAAACCCCCTAAAAAAGCAGTCACACAAAGTCAGCATGTTGGTGTAATGGTTAGGAGTATGACTCTTATCCAAGAGGTTGAGTGTTCAAATCTTGGTTGAGGCAGACCTAGGTTACATGGAAGATCATTTTCAACAATCCTAATGTCTTGAAATAATAATGATAAAGCCCCTAAGCTAAGACTGTGAACACAGTCTTGGTGAGGCTCATGCTGGCCCTCTACTGGCATACTCAGACACCCATACAAAAAAGACCACTCGTTAACATCATTGATTACAGCTGTGTTGTTTCCTCTCCACAAGTCAGTTGTCTGCAGGGAAGCAGTTGCGAACAGTCACACATTGACTCTCAAGGCAATTAAGGGAAATACAGTAAAACAGAGTGATATTTTCAAGCTAAAGAAGACAATGAACTGAATTATGAACCTTGTCAAACTTCTTCATCACTACAAATAACAGTAAGTGAGCATATCAACAAAATATGCTGGATACTTCAGCTAGTTTCCTGCTGTTGCTAGTAGCAGCTAAGAGTTGAATATGGAAGGAAAAGCTGAGTTATACTTCACAGTGGCAACTGCAGTGGGTCTTAACTTTAAGACACGGACACGTCGACACCGTTATAGAAAAGAGAAAACTTTCGAGAAGTAAGTCTGATACTTTTTCCTTTTTACATTTTATGTCTCTCTAGGTAGCCTATTTGTCGTTCTACTTGGTGGCTTGTTTGCATCCTGATGGCTAACTTTCTGAAAACTGTTTTCAAGGAACGATTGAAGCTGCTACGGGACATGATATGAAAACGTTGTTGCCATGGAAGGAAATCACTTTAAAATGTGAGTCAAATCAATTAAGTGTTGCACCTTCTGTCTCAGTACTAGCTTTCTTCTTGATGACTAACATTCTTAAACTGGTCTTAACAGGAACAGACACCATTTTGCCATGAAAAAAACTTCCAAATGTGAGTCATTTTTCTATGATTTATTTTTCTGTCTCTATCTTCTCTGTCCAGTTTTCTTTGCTAAACCTGATTGCTGCTGTGTTTGTTTGTGTATGCAACTGCTGGCTGTGCTCTGTTGATGATTTGGAGGTTTTACTATGTGATGTGTCTTGTTCTTTATTTCTGTCTGCTGTGTTTTTTTCTGCTGCCTGGGTAGACACTGTGAGTAAGAAAGTCCGCCGAGGCTTTTAAAGTTTTAGAAACTTATTGAACTTTGCATTCAATGGTTGTTCAGAAACCTGTTTGCTGTTTGTGTGGAGGTCTGCTTGCTGTTGGTATGCAACTTCTTCTTGGCTTGTTGGTTTAAATGTAACTTTTCATAAACAAAGCTTCTGAGTTAAAGTTTACTATTCATGCTTTTGACATGGTGGGCTATATTGATAATTTTTGCTTGTCTTTTTACATTGCATGAGTTGCTTGTGAGCTTTTGAACAGCTTGTTCACCACCTTGTTTGTGTGGTTGTTTGTAGCCTGGGTACAAAGTTTGCTTGCTGCTGGAAAAGCTCCTCTTGATTGGTTTGCTAAACTTAGCAGGCCCTGGGTGCTTTTTTTTCTGAATACTACGCTTGTTGTTTTCTTTAAGACTTGATATGTGTATGTTTGTTTAAAATTCCACCTTGAAATTCTCCTAAAAAGTCTAGATGCAATTCATCAGAACCCTGAAACTGTAGCCAAGACTGGACTAAGAGAACTGGATATGACAAAAATTGATGTAACAATACCTCGCTTTTTTTTAAACTCTGCTTTTAGCTTTTGTTATGGTCAGTGTCACCAAGGACAAGGACATTTTCTATTTTCACAACACAAATGAAATAGAAAGAAATATATATATTTAACAATTTGTATTTATTAACTTACTTCAATTTTAATTTAGTAAAAATTTGATAATAACAATCAATCATAAATGTAGGTAATCTTTACATCCCTCCTACCTACTTTGTATTATTTTTTTCCCATCTTTTGCTACTTTTTTCTCTTTCTGCTTTAAATCTCTTTCTGCTTGATTGCTGATTTGCTTCCTCATTACTACCTGCTGTTTTAAATAGGGGATAACAGTAGTTAAGAGGAATGTGGAAAACATATTCAACTGTTGCCGGCATTTGTCTATATTGAGTTACATTAGTATGCAAATATTAACAACAAAAGTGCATATTTGACAATATCAGTAACAGGCTCAATTTCAGGACCACAGGTACAGCTACAACTATCTTCTTTGGTGAGCAGTGTTTCTACTTTGCACTTCTACTCTAGTACCAAAAGTGCTGGAAGTGGTATGGCTGCAGAGTGTATATCCATGGCATGTATGTTGTGGCAGTGTTTTCAGATTGTAACAGGTAGGTATACCAAGTCTATCATATGTGAAAACCTTAGGTCGCCTGTGTTGTCATCTCAGCCACATTACCTCATCATTGCTGGAAACACTTGGAAAAGGTGAGGGGACAGCATCCTCCACAGGTGGATCATCAATGTAGTTGTCTTGTTGATTTGTAGGGTATTGTGCTTCCTCCAATTCAGGTATGTTTTCCCCAGACTGAATACATTCAAGCCCTGGCTGTGTGGTAGTGGACACAGGATCCACTGTCTCAGGTGAGCATGCTGATGTGGCACAGGATAATAATCATCCTCACCGTCCTCTTCTGATTGTTCTGCTTCCTGAACTGTTGCTGTCTTGAACTGCGTTAGTTTTTCTTCTGAGATCGACAGGTGTTCTGTTAGGAGGTTAACTTGTAGTTCCTCTTCCAGGACTTCTTCATTCTGTCCATACCAGAATGTCATCCATAACATTCACAACTCCTTCCAGGTCCTCCAGTCTCTGAGCAATGCATTTCTGGAAAACCTCTGGAGCAGATGACACGCCAAAGGGAAGCCGCTTGAAACAGTACCCACATAAAGGCGTGTTAAAGGTGCACAACTTTGAACTGTCTTTATCAAGTTGTATTTACCAAAACCCATGGTTTGCATCCAACACTGAGAAGACTCTTGCATTTGGCATCTCTTCCACAACCTCCTCTATTGTCCTCAGGGAGTAATGTTCTCTTTTTATGGCCTTGTTTAGGTCATGGGGATCGATGCAGATTCATATTTTCTTGTTTGGCTTTTGGACAGTGACCATGCTATTTACCCAATCAGTGGGTTCTGTCTACTTTTCAACTACACCAAGTTCCTCCATCCTTTCCAGTTTAGTGTTGATTTTGTCTTTTAGTGCTAAGGGCACTTTTCTTCCTGAGAGTGAATAACTGGAGTTACTGTTGGATTCATGTTTCTTCATGCAATGCTTTTCAGGTGGCTTTGTGTAGCCACCTGAAACAGCTTTACTTAATGATAAGTCAGGTTCTCTGAGCAGTCTGGCTCTAATTTTGTTTGCCACTTTCTTTTCTTGTTTTTCGGGGTCTCAGTCTTTACAGGGGCTTTAAGCAGGTCATACAAGGGGCTGGCAATAGGTGAACAATATTTTATATACTGCCAGTAATAACTCAAAAGTCCGACCATGGCTCTTAACTCACCCACAGTGCCTGGCCATTTGTCTTTCAGAGCTCTTACTGCAGAAGTATCTGCCGGATCCATCCTGCTCCCAGCTGCAGACGTAATCCTCCCCAGGTATCTCACTTGTGCTTTAAACCGTTCACATTTTCTTTGTTTTAGTTCATCCCATGCTCCCTCAAATGCTGCAGCACCTTCCGGACATGATCTTCAAAAGTTCTGATAAATACAAGGACATCATCAAGATATGGCACACATATTTCAATCCTTTAACCCACCAAGCACTCCGTGCAGCGCTGAGATGCTGCCAGTGCTTCTGAGCTGCAGTTAAAGTCTGGGATCCATAAGCAGTCACAAATGTTCTTTGATTGTCCATTTAAGAGCTAAGAACTCTAACTGCTCGAATGCAGATGGTAAGTCTTCTGAGCTGCAGTTAAAGTCTGGGATCCATAAGCAGTCACATGAAGCTTTCCATTTTGCCTTTGGTACAATACAGCATCCAGTCCCTGGTAAGATGCATCAGTGTGAAAACTCTGGGAAGGAAGGAACAGGAGGTTGAACAAGACAGTCTTTCAATGTTGACTATGTTAACATCTTTCCACTCAATCGGTGTACTGGATGGAGTTCTTCTGCCAGTTGTTTTTTGTTTGCCACTTTCTTTTCTTGTTTTTCGGGGTCTCAGTCTTTACAGGGGCTTTAAGCAGGTCATACAAGGGGCTGGCAATAGGTGAACAATATTTTATATACTGCCAGTAATAACTCAAAAGTCCGACCATGGCTCTTAACTCACCCACAGTGCCTGGCCATTTGTCTTTCAGAGCTCTTACTGCAGAAGTATCTGCCGGATCCATCCTGCTCCCAGCTGCAGACGTAATCCTCCCCAGGTATCTCACTTGTGCTTTAAACCGTTCACATTTTCTTTGTTTTAGTTCATCCCATGCTCCCTCAAATGCTGCAGCACCTTCCGGACATGATCTTCAAAAGTTCTGATAAATACAAGGACATCATCAAGATATGGCACACATATTTCAATCCTTTAACCCACCAAGCACTCCGTGCAGCGCTGAGATGCTGCCAGTGCATTCATGAGTCAAAACGGGATTCTGATCCACTCGTACAGACCCCAAGGGGTCACAAAAGCAGTTAGGGGTCTACTGTCTTTGGCCATGATGGTGGTCTGTCTTACCCTGGTAGAGCATTGAAAAGAGTGTTTCCTCCCAGATTGTCAAAAATGTCCTGTTCTCTAGGTATTGGATGGCAGTCTGAGTGAGTCTTCCTGTTGAGCTCCCTGTAGTCAATACATAATTACAAAGAACCATCCTTTTTTCTAAGAAAGAAGATGGGGAAAGAGTAGGATGAAGTGGACTTTTCTCACCAACCTTGTCCTATCAAGTCTTGTAAGTAGTCGTTCAATTCTTTGTTTAAGGATTATGGAACAGAAAAACACATTTTTGAGACTGATTTTCAACACAGCCTATGTCGTCATTATTTCTGGAGAATGACCCTTCTGCCTGGCATGTGGTTACGGTTATGTCAACCACTTTGACACAATTTGGAATATTCCTGATTTGTACAAATATGATAATCTCCATCCCAACCATATGGGAATTGCAGTCCTGGCCTCAAACTTGTCTTGCCACATATCACAATTGCTGGCTGCCCTGTATTACCTACTTTGAACCAAACTCTCTCTCCCTGCTGTAGTTTAGGCAGGTTTTTGGCTCCACGATCAAAATAGTGTTTTTGTTTCAACTCTCTTGTGTTCATGTGTTCATGCACTTTCTTGTACAGCTGAGGCTTCAACAGCTGAGCAGTTGCTGGCAGTTTTTTTTTCAGTCGTCTGCCCATTAATAGCTGCGCAGTTTCACAGTTTCACTCCATCCAAAGGTGCATTCCTGTACTCTAGAAGACAAAGATAAGGATCTCCTTGACTCTCTTGTGCTTTCTTGAGCTGGTTTTTTACAGTCTGGATTGCTCGTTCACTTTGTCCGTTGGACTGGGAGAATCCTGGGCTTGATGTTGTGTGCTTATACTCCCACTTTTCTGCAAATAGTCTAAACTCCTCGCTTGCGAACTGTGGTCCATTATCTGACACAATTTCATCTGGAATCTCGTGTCTTGCAAACATTGACTTGAGTGCTGTGATAACATACTTGCTTGTTGTCTGGGACAGTTTTGCGATTTTGGGGTATTTTGAGTAATAATCTACCCTGCAGATATTCACTTTGTTCACAATGGAAAAGATCCACACCTAGTTTTGCCCATACTCTGTCTGGAATGTCATGGCATAAGAGTGGTTCTTTCACATTATTTCTTTTGAATGTGCTACAGATGGCACACTTTAAAACAATGTCCTCAATTTCTTTTGACATCCCAGGCCAAAAGAGTGCATCTCTTGCTCTCTCTGTGCTTTTCACTACTCCAAGATGAGCTTCATGGATTTTTTTGTAGCATTTCTGCTCTCAGGTTCTGAGGTACAA